GTTAGTGTGTGTTCGTGCGCTCTCTTCGTTACGCACGCTGCGTACGCAAAATGGCGCTACACGGAGTATTTATCGGCGAGCGGATTTTCTCCGAAGCTTACATCTGAATCTCTCCATCATGGAACATTGACTTTAGAAGAGTTTGTGTGGTGTTTTGGAGGGCTTGATGGGAAGCAGCGACGAAGAGCAGCAGAAAGACCCGGAGAGATGCATGACAGGCAGGGATAGCATTAGCACGTAAGTTTCAACGCCGTTCTCTTGAATGTGTATATGTGTTTATCATGTGTTTGCAGCTTTTGTTTCATGTTAGCTGTTTTAGATTATAAAAATGACAACGGAGAGGGAAAATATGAGGGGGCTACATGATTTATGTATGCATGTTTGTGCGTGTGTATGTCCGAGTATTGAGTATGTATGTTTGTGTCTGTTTGTGCGTGTGTATGTATGAGTATTGTGTGTGTGTGTTTGTGCGTGTGCATGTAGTACGAGTATGGAGTGTGTGTGTGTGTGTGTGTGTGTGTGTGTGTGTATACAACATGTAAACACAGTGTTGCAAGTTTGATTTGTTGTGTTTACACGCTCTCTCTCTCTTTCCTGTGTTTCAGTGACTTTGGTATCCAGTTGGTCAGAACAAACCTTTTTAGTGACTGCCTTGAGTGTCCTACACTGTAAATACTGTAAATAGTTGCTTTAGTTTTTCAGTAACTGGATATTCATAATAATTAGCAGAGAAAAAAAATGACAATTACAAATGTAAAAAAAAAAGTATTTTGTGTGTTTATTAGCTCTAAAATGATCACTGATCAAATCTGTTTTGGTTTTTATTATTAGAATTGTTCAAAATAAATACTGTTTAGTTAGAATGTTCGAATGTTGTTCTGATAGTTTTGTGTTTGTGTGTGGTTTCATGGGTAGATGAGTTCTGAATTGATATACATATAGCCTATCTATGTAGTATATGTAGTATGCAGTGCCATATGGAGTCTCTAAATAGCCTTTTTGAAAGGATTCCTAGACTTTTCTTGAAATAAAAGATCTAAATGACTTTTCCTAATCTTTTCTTTAAATAAAATACCATAAAGATGTGTTTTCAGGCCTTTGGCATCAAAGCCTCATCCATTTTTCCCTTAGTGAATTTAATTTAAAGATATCGTGAGTCACTTTCATGTACATTTTACCTTGTTTTACTCTGTTGCGATACTAATTGAGTTAATATTACTCCAGAGTAACAAAGGTTGAAGTGTCTAGTTTCAAACAATACCAGATTTATAAATATAGATCATAGGGTTCAAGAGCTACAGACATTTTTATTTGGGTATGTCGTTTTTTTCAGAAAATGCTCAAAAATAGGGGCGCACAGTAAGTGGTTAATATTCTATCTAATGTCTAGATCTTTTTCTATTATTAAATCTAATTTGATATACTATATACGTAGTAATAGTGAAAGTCATTTAATTAGGTGAAAATATGCTTAATGTTAATTTAATTAAAATCTAATTTTAACGTCGAATGCATTAAGTATAATGCCAAAATAGAGTTTACAGTTCTGCTTGATGATTATTCATCCTACTTAATATACAAAAACATCACAAAGCAATTTATCTGTATTATCAGTAATATTTGTTTTGTGAACCACACAATATCCGAGCCATCATAAATCCAATATATAGTAATCCTCTCCATATTCCTGAAGCACATTTCTTTTTTCTTCAAATTTACACAAAAGAAAGAAAACACCACAAATGAAGTTAATAAGTGCCTTTTTTTAATCCGAACAGCCAGGTTTGAACAGACTTGGACCACAAAACTTCCTCCATTCTCCCCTCCCATTCTGGATCTGTAACCATCTTTATATACCAACACATACATATCTCAACTGAACAAGCAAACATTATGCTCCACCGGCATCAAGGACTGAAATGAAATAACATGAAACGCAACACAACCCTTCTTCACGTTCTAGATGGTGCCATCAGATCACAAACACCTCTAATGCTCTCCTCTCAACCCTCACACACTCACAGAGCACAGTCTGGACTTCAGAACGAGCATCTGGTGAGATGATGGAGAGCAGCAGTTTCCAGCAGCAGGGTACAGTGAGCGCCACCTTCAGCCCTGAGAATATCTAGCCCATAGTTAACATCTGGAATCGAGAAATCAGCCATTGGTCGGGTGTTATGGCTCTGTATTAGGAGATGGTCAGAGAGGAGCATTAGGACGGTGTCTTGTCCAGTCTGTGAGTAACAAAAACCATGAAAAAAGCAGGAAAAATGACCAACATTGGAAGGACGTAACATTGGTGGCACTATCCAATCATCATTTTTGTTGTTTTTCTCCAAAACTCTTCGCAATTATAAACATTTCCCGTATATAAAGATATTCGAGTGAAAAAAATTCAGGATATTTACAAGAATATCTTGTTCTGGATTTACATATTTCACAGAATATTATTTCAATTTAATATCTGCATGAACAATAACTGCTGCGAAATAGGACATGAAGAAAATTCCAGCATTTCTCCAACCATTTACCTTTATATCACATCTGCTTTATTTAAATTACACTGAAATGGTTGGTTTGCTATTTTGCGTGCTGATATTTTGATTTGATTTTTTTCTAATAATTAAAAAAAATATTCATATAACCCAAGACAAAACTCTTTGTGATGCACATTTGATGCACCTGACAGCAGCAAAAACTGTAAATCTGTTTATACCCAAAGGTTTTGTTTCAATGAACATTTGGTTTCTGATGCAAATGTAACAAAAAATGCAAAATGGAACAATGCCAACAGTGGGATTCAGAGACATAAAAGGGAGAGGAGATCAGAACCAGTATATACTGAAAAATAAATCCATTCTAATTATTCCATCTAGTGACCTTTGCCCCCAAGTTAAAAGATGGATAAATGAAACATCAACAACATTCCAGCACATTTGGAGTCAATTGTCAGACCTGTTCTTGTTTTAATCTCACAAATAAATAATAAACAAATTTAAGCAAGATCCGATAGGAAAGAAAGCAGCTAGTCGTACAAAATGTCCATAACTCCGTAATTTCTCCACTCTGAGATTGTGGTTTGTAGCGTTTATGAGGTTTTACCCAGATACAGAGAGCAGTAATATTGTCCTTTTCATGAAAAAGGTCAGATGTACTTTATATATAGGTACATAAAAAATAAAAAAAAGAGTGAGGTAGATAAATGTCCGAAGGAAAAAAAAGTCCCCAAGTCATGAAAAAAAAAAGCATATAAAAATACCTCAAATGTAATCAAGGGGGAGTTTTTACAGTGATTATAAACGTATCACAAAAAAGAAAAAAGAAATAAAAATAAATAATGAAAAAAAAAAAAAGGCCAGGGGGGGGGAAAAAGAAAAAGTGAGTTTTTCCTTTGGAGAAAAAAAAAATGTCCCAAAAACTGGCGCTCATAGTCAAACCTGTTTCTTAAATCGATATAAGTGTTACAAACACAACTTCTGCATAGAGATATGCTGAATCATATCTGTATAATCATTTATCAGGCTCTGCTCGGAAG